CCCCCCCCCCCCCAAGTAAACTCATCTGCACAGACCCACGCTTCACATGGGGCACACGCCTGGCGGGGACTTGCCAGGGCCTGGCTGTCCTGGGCCGTGGCAGCGGGTTGGCAGCGGGGGCAGACAAGGGGCCCAAGGCTGGAGTTACCGCCCGGGCAGCGGGGAGCCCGGTGGCCAAGGACCGGGGAGGGGGGAGCTCCGCACCCCCGCGGGCTGCGGGGGATAAGGGGCGCCAGCATCGCCGGGGGCATCCCCGCTACCGGAGGGGTCCAGGTCTCGGGGAGCAGGAGACCATCGGCCGGGGCTCGGGGCCAGGCAGGGACCGAGCGGCAGCCCGACCGCTCCTTGGGCCCGTACCTCAACCGACACTCGGCCGGGCGCCTCAGGGCCCCGTACCTCAGCCCCTGCTCGGCCCAGCGCCTCGGAGCCCGGTACCTCAGCCGGTGCCTCAGGGCCGGTACCTCAGCCCCTGCTCGGCCCAGCGCCTCGGAGCCCGGTACCTCAGCCGGTGCCTCAGGGCCCCGTACCTCAGCCCCTGCTCGGCCCGGTGCCTCAGAGCCCGGTACCTCAGCCCCTGCTCGGCCCGGCGCCTCAGAGCCCGGTACCTCAGCCCCTGCTCGGCCCGGCGCCTCAGGCCCGGTACCTCAGCCGGTGCCTCGGGGCCCCGTACCTCAGCCCGTGCTCAGCCTGGTACCTCCACCAGCTCCTCAGGATCTGGTACCTCAGCCCTCACTCGGCCGGGTGCCTCAGTCCCTTCCCGCTCTTTTGCCTCATGTTGGGCCCAGTACCTCAGCTGGTACCTCAGCCCTCACTCGGCCGGGTGCCTCAGTCCCTTCCCGCTCTTTTGCCCAGTACCTCAGCTGGTGTTGCCAGTGCCTGGGCCCGTGCTGTCCCAGTACCCTAGGGAGTGTTTTCTTTGGCTGGGCTCCTGCGGCCGGTGCCTCAGCGTGTGCTGTAGGGCCTGCCAGAGTGGCTCTGGCAGGGGCTCTCATGGCTCCCTGGGGTAGGAGAATGCTGTCTGTGCAAGTTTTTTGTCCTGTCCTTCCCTGTAAGCTGTTGCTATAAAGGAAGCTGGGATGTGGGTTTAGTACTCGGCTTTGCTATGGGGAGCTCCCATATACAGCTCTTGCAGTCTATTCTTGCTGAGGGGCCAGCTTTAAGGTAAGACCCTGTACAGGTACCCCAAAGTGGTGGTCTGGTAACCCATACTCTGACCAAAACAGTAGTGGCATAGGCCTTACCTGATCTTGGCTTTACTACCAATGTTCCCGAGCACATGCATTCATTCCCCTGATGGTTCTCCTTTTCTGTTTCTTCGTTTTGCAGACAATCCTAGGGGAAACTCATGAAGAAGAGGATGAGATCCTTCCACGCAAAGACTATGAGGTGGGAGGTTAATTGATAGCAGCTTTTGAAGTTAATGTGAAAAGAAATGCATCACTAGTTAGGTTGTGTTTGCATCAGCAGAAATACCAAGAGCTGCTGTTATTGCAAAGAACTGCTCATTATCATTATATGTTTCTGGGTTAAAGCCCTGCGAGTAGAGCTTGAATATCTGCTGCTCAAGTCAGACTCTTGTTGAGAAAATCCATTTTCAGAGTCTGCTGCGTTGTTCTGCTTCTTTAATGTGAGCTGTACAGACTCTAGTGGTCTTGTTTCCTCATGACTGTAGAAAGCACCTGTTGCTACTTGGTCACTGCAGCCTGACTGCTGTCTCTGATGTCATGCTGCCTCACAGCAGATCTTCCCATCTATTGGGAAGGTAGATCTAGAAGATCCTGCTTCTTAGAGGAGAATGTTGCTTTTTGCATGACTGTATGGTGGCTCTCAACTAGTTAGAGCAGTTGCTGTCAGTGTGGGTGTCATCAGCTTAGTCTGTTACAGCTTGGCTTGAGAAGGTGAAATTGATGTATACAGAAGCTAGTGGTTCTTTGTGAGTACAACTGGGCAACTCTATATTGCTTTTAACTCTGTGCTGTGATAAGCTTAAGAATTGATGTGTTCATCTGGAGAGGAATTCCGACCTAGTGTTCCTGTTGTGAGAGGTTAAATATAAAGATCTAATGTTGCCCCCTGCCCTGTCAAATTGGAGGTGCTTAAAGAAGTAAAGTCTAAATCTGTACAATGTGACTTCATGAATTCAAAGTTGTATTAATCAGTCGTGTTCCTGTTTGGTTCCCTGTCTGTCTTAGCTTGGGCAGTGAAATTGGTCTGGTTTTTCTCTTCCTGATTCTCGGGGTGTGGCTCTGCTGGAAATACTTAAGTTTTTTGCGGGAGTTTTTTTTCCTCCTGTTGTTTGCAAAACCTGCTGTGGGGGTAGTAATGACATTTGCAATTTTTAACGAGGTCTTCTATCTATAGTTTTTTGCACAATCTGTTGCAGCTGGTTCTCTTAAATTGGCCTTTTGGCATTCTTTCAGAGCTTGGATTACGATCGGTGTATCAATGACCCGTACTTGGAAGTTTTGGAGAGCATGGACAACAAGGTAGGACCTTGTTCTTTCTTTTTCATTAGCTTGAGAGCTAAAACTGTGGAAATCACCCAGAGAAATTTTCCCAGGGTAGTTGTGGATGCCCCATCATTGGAATTGTTCAGGGCCAGGTTGGATGGGGCTTTGAGCAGCTTGATCTAGTGAGAAGTGTCTGTGCCCAGGGCAGGGGGTTAGACTAGATGATCTTTAAAGGTCCCTTCCAACCCAAACTGTTCTATGATTGTAAATACTCTCCTCTGTGGGAAGTTTTGTGCATTTTTTTCTTTATGAAAGAAATTCTTTGTGCTCTCTTAGTTTCTCTATGAAAAGAATAAAAATATATATGGAGATTACGGCTCTCAGCATCTGTTCTGATCCTTGGGTTTAAAGACAGATGTTCAGTGCTTTCAGTTCCCTATTTTCAGTTTGCTGTTGTCACTGTCTTCTCTGGATTTATCACTCTAGCTGTAATTGAGCTGTGGAGTCCAAAACCACCTTTCTCTGATCCCCATTTCTATGTTGCTTTGACTTGGCTTTTCTTTTTGTATCCTCTTCCTAAACAGAAAGCCCAGAGATACGAAGCAGTGAAGTGGGTGCTGGTTTTTGCTATTGGAGTCTGCACAGGACTGGTAAGGGCTGTGCTGTTTGGGGAATGAGGAAAATTCAGGAGGCTAAGCAGGGATAATTTAGACGTCAATGGCCGAGAAGGAAACATTCTCCTTCATGAAGTGGAGACCTTAGTAGCTGAAGTCGTCTTTGGGGAATTATAGCATGGTTATTGCTATATTATTTTCCGGGAAGCCTTTTTTTTTTTTTTCTTTCAGATCTTGCTGTGTTTTCTTTGTAAAGTATTCTAGCAAATGGCTTAATTCTTCATACAGGGATACTTGTCCAAAGTGAGCACTTAATAAAAAAGGAGGACAATTTACAGTTGAACTGTGTTTTTTGTTTGGCATTACTAGCTTTACTGCATGTACTTTCTGGAGTGTTTGAAAATTAGTTTTGCTGACTGTATGCCTCAGTTAAACACCAGCTTTCTTCTGTACTCTGAAGTATGTGGTGGGTGTTAAAAATGCTGCTGGATTAATACTCTGAAATGCATTGCTTAGGAATATTTCTAGGATGGATCTGTCCTGGTGAAAACAAGGGAGGCAGTAAATCTGAGCTTCTGAAGTTACTTTACTGTGAACAACGCTTCTTTTGCCTCTGTCCTGCCATATGTGCATACTTCTGGTAGAACTTACTAGAAGGTGGTCTTTATTACTTGTATGTATTAATTTCTGATGGCAGATCTGCCTTCTTTTTCATAGGTGGGCCTTTTTGTGGATTTCTTCGTGCGACTCCTTACCCAGCTCAAGTTCCGGGTGGTTCAGAGCTGTATCTTTTACCTACTATATGGGTTCCTGGTAGACTGAAGTGACCTTTTGCTTTCTGTTGCCGTGTTTTGCTTAGAACAGCTGACTCTCAGATTTCTACCATCAGTCATGATGTTGATGATTAATCAAATTTTCAACTTGCCTATGTCATTCAGCCCTTGAAACCAAGAAATGATTCTGGTATCACATATGTAGGCAAAGCTAATCCCTGAAAGAACGAGTGGTTCCCCTTCTTTGTAACTCAGTCTTGAGCTCTGAAAAGGAAGCCTGGCTTCCTGACGAGTTGTGTCAGATGCCCTGGCTGGATTAGGAAGTGCAGGCTCAGCTTGTGACGCCGGTGGGAACCCCCAGACAGTAGTGAATGATTGTGTGTTGGTGGTGGGGAACGTTGTTGTTTTCCTTGACAGTCCCCGCAGCGGTGGAGGAATGCACTGAGAAAGGCTGTCTTGCCTTGTCCTTGCTGGAGCTGCTGGGGTTCAACCTGACCTTTGTTTTTCTTGCCAGTCTTCTGGTCCTGATCCAGGTAAGACCTAGGTCCACTGCTTCTCCTTACACAGCCCCCCTTTGCTCTCACACAGGTCCTGGGTAAGATGTTTCGTTCTTGATGGAAGCACTTTCTGCCCCAACACATTAAACTAGCTTCACAGTGCCAGTTGATTGAGCTAAGCAGGGTCTCTTAGTCGCTTGCTGTGCTCTCTGATGAGGTATCGTTGGTCAGCTATGAAATCGATGCAGCACAGCCTCAGTGTTTCTTTTCTGCAGCCTGTAGCAGCTGGATCAGGAATTCCTGAAATTAAGTGCTACCTCAATGGTGTGAAGGTTCCGGGCGTTGTGCGTCTCCGGACAGTGGTGTGCAAAGCTATGGGAGTGCTCTTCAGTGTGGCAGGAGGTAAGAAGGGCTGTGGTGTGTTGATCTCGTTGGGGTAAGGAATCACTGAAGGGGGAAAAATGCTGTCCCTGCTCTACACAGCGCACAAAAGGCTTCTCCTGTCTTTCCAGTAAAATGATTTTGATGGGCTGAAGCAGAGTGATGAGCCCTGAATGAATACATACATCAGAAAATAGACAGAAGGGTCAGGACTATTGGGGGAACAAGTTACTTTTCTGGGTAGGTTAGTCAGAAGTGGCTCTTTGTGGCTCGAAGAGGGAGACCTGAGTATTCTCCAGAACACGTTGTCTGGAGCAGCCTGAAGGAGGCCATGTTCCAGGCAGCAGGGCGGAATAACTTGGGAAGTTCAGAGTCCTTGTAACAGCTGTTTTTGAACGGTCCCACCACTTGGAGTGCCAAGTTTGTGCAAGTCTTCACAAACACTTGCAGGGTTGAGGGGCCAAGGGTCAGGACCTTCCCTCACCTTGAAGGGAGAGGGAAGAACTGCAGGCTTGGCACAGGGGACTGTGCCATGGCATAGGAGTGCTGAGCTGAGCTCTCCCGGCATTGTCAGCAAGGGAGAGAGCTGGGGGGGAATGTGCTGTCTCATCAATCCTGTTTTTCCAGGTCTTTTTGTCGGGAAGGAGGGTCCAATGATTCATAGCGGTGCTGTTGTGGGTGCAGGTTTGCCACAGGTTAGTGTGGGCCCGGGTCTCTGGCCTGGTCACACCACTGCTTTATAAGAGTGCTGTGAGGAGTAAGTTTTCATCTCCTATGTTTCTAAATCTTTACTTTCTTTGTAGTTCCAGAGCATCTCTTTGAGGAAGATCCAGTTTAACTTTCCCTATTTCCGCAGTGACAGGTACTGTACGCAGGATGTGGAGGAGGGGAGAGGAGGATGAGGGAGCAGGCTTCCTTGGGAGAAGGCTGTTGGGTTGGCTGAATAAATGGTGTTGCCTGCCATGGCCAGTGCTTCCCCCACCTGCCATTCCTATATCCCTGGGATATATCCATAAATGGGAATGATCTCTTACTTTGCAGAACCTAAGCACTTCCAGAGCTATGCTTTGCTAAATGGAGATTGTTTTCCTCTTCGTTTCAGGGATAAAAGGGATTTTGTATCTGCTGGAGCTGCTGCAGGGGTTGCGGCTGCCTTTGGAGCCCCGATTGGGGGCACTCTTTTCAGCTTGGAAGAAGGTTCCTCCTTCTGGAACCAGGGACTTACATGGAAAGTGGTGAGTAAAGACTGGCTCTTTGTGTGTCTCTTCCTTGAGCTGGGCCTTTGGGAGGGTTTGTGTGTGAGGGCATTCTGGTTATCCTGTGTCTCCTGAGCTCTCCTGGCAGGAGAGAGATTGTCTGCTGAGTGCTCCAGAATTGATATGGATGAAGAGCAGAGATGAATCTGGAACTATGGGGCAACTCTGCAGGCAGCAGAATTAGTGTACCTGGGAGAAGACTTTTTGCCTGGGCTCTTTGCAGTCCAGTCCTTTGGGAGCAGACAGAGTAGGGAGGTGCTGGATTTCTTTCTGCTTTCTCTCTGCCTTGGGGAGCTGTATTGCAGCAATACCAGATGCCATCAGGTTGTTCTCTCTGACTCTAGTGCCTGCTTTCATAAGTGGACAGTATTTTTGCATCTTATGCCAAATGTCCTGTTGATGGGATTCAATTTGTCTACTCTTAGTGGGGATAAGAGGAGCCAGAGGATTTCCTGAGATAGCAACTCTCTCAGAGCCAATGAAGACCTCAGTTCCATCTCTAAACAAGCTGTGTTAGTGTCTTGTAATTGATTTGCAACTGCAAATTAGCATCTTTGACAAAAGAAAAAAAGAGCTTCTGCTGCAAGAATTACTAGGTGACATTCCTAACTTCTTGTGCAGGAAACCAAATCAGATTATTATAGTAGTCCATTTTAGCCCTGCTCTCTTTTGCAGCAGGGAATGGGTGTTAAACCTCAGTAGGACTATTTTCCTAAAGCTTGAGAAGGCTCTGAGATTCCCTTCCCCAGCCCTGAGTCTCAAGGCAGAGCTGACTGCCAGTCTTAATTTGGGGAGTGCTTATTTCTTTCTTTTTGTTTTTACGGCCTCAGCTTTTCTGTTCCATGGCTGCCACCTTCACCCTGAATTTTTTCCGCTCTGGGATACAATTTGGAAGTTGGGGATCTTTCCAGCTCCCTGGCCTGCTGAACTTTGGGGAGTTTAAGGTAAGATTTAGTACTGTTACTTCCCCCTGTACCCAGTCTCTTTCAATTCAGTGTTCCTTTCTGTTTTTTCTTTGATACATGCTTGTATTTCAGTGAAGGGCAGTTGATACTTAGTTTCAATACATTGATAGCCTAAGACAGAATTGTTTCCCTTTGGTCATAGCTGCTGAGAGTCTCCTGCTCTGGAGACAGAAGAGTTTGTAGAAAACTGCAACAACTACTCTGAAGCCTTTTTCTGATGCCTTTTCCTAATTCTTTTCTGTGCCTAGTGCTCTGAGTCTGATAAGAAATGCCACCTCTGGACGGCTGTGGACTTGGGCTTCTTCATTCTGATGGGGATTGTAGGAGGCCTTCTCGGAGCCACCTTCAACTGCCTGAACAAGAGACTTGCGAAGTACCGCATGCGGAACGTGCATCCCAAGCCAAAGCTGGTCAGGTATTTGTGCTCTTTTGAGTTTGGGCGGGGATTTTTCATCTCTGTTCAGTGTCTCAAAGCAAAAACATCCATCTAGAGGACCCAATGAGAGGGATTGGAGGAAATCCCAGACCTGTTCTTTTTGAAATCACAGAAGGAAGCCTGCATAGAACTTAAAAGTGAACACCAGAAACCAGATGTTACAGTCCCTCTGTATTTTTGTAATTACTCTGGTGGTACAGAGAGCTGCAATCCCCCTTACAAGGGCTGTGAAGGAAGCTCTTTATAATAAAGGCTATAGTTGAACAAACCAGAGCTTTGTTTCCCTGCAGTGTTTTTTTGTTTTGGAAAGGAATAGCTGATCCCACTCTTTTTTTTTTTTTTTTTTTTTTTTTTTTTTTTTTTTTTTTTTTTTTTTTTTTTTCCCTCTATTTTTAATTGGGTTAATTAAATCCACAACTGAGCTAATATCTGTGCTATTTAGAGAGGGAATTGCCATGTAATTCTGGAAAATAGCTGTTTGTTTGCTCTAGCAATTCCTAAATAAGGAGTCTAGGTTTAAAAACAAGAAAACTGTATTTCAGCAGTTAGAAAAGGGATATGAGAGACTATGCATCAGCCTGTCCAGTCCTGTCTAGACTTTTACCCTGTGACGATCTACAGAACGTTGTTTCCATGTGAACAGCCTCGTCACTGAATCCTTCCCTGTGGCTTCTTATACGTGACACTTATGTGTTCTGTGGGCAAAAATAGCTCCTTTTTTGGGCAGGCAATAAAAAGGGGAGTTAATGTAATCCCTGGCAACCAAGTCATAATTCAGCTTGACTTGCAGGGTTCCCTGCTTCTGATGTTAAGCTGTGGTGACTGCTTGTTCTTGCAACTTTGTCAAAGTCCTGTGCAGAGCTGGGGCTGCGTTGCAGGGCTGAGTGTGGCTTCAGAGTGTGGTGTCTCTTGTGTACTTGCAGAGTCTTGGAGAGCCTGTTGGTGTCGTTGACTACCACAGTCGTGGTCTTTGTAGCCTCCATGGTTCTGGGGGAATGCCGGCAGATGTCTTCCACCAGTCACAGTGGCAATGACACTCTGAGCCTGCAGGTGAGGGATCTTACATGAATATTTTATGTCCCTGTTATATTGTTCACCCTCCAGAGAAGCACAGACACATAACGAGCTGTTGACAGCAGGCAGTACAGAACAGAACTTCAGAGAAAGCCTACGTACCGTTGCAGGAGCTTAGGATAATAATGAAAGCTGCCCTTTGTGCTTTTGTACTTTGGCAAAGCAGCTCAAGCTGTGAATCAGGGAGCCTACTGGTGTTGCAGGCCACATCTCTGCTATTGATGTTTGGTCTGAACTTCCCAAAATGTGGGCTGGTAGCCCTGTACAAGAGAGTTACTGCCGTTCTGCACAAAGGCTAATGTAGGAGCGAGTAGATTTTAACTGTTCATGTCTTTTGTGTCCTGCATTAGGGTATGTCAGAGGACGTGAACTCAAGCATCAAAACTTTTTTCTGCCCAAATGAAACCTACAATGACATGGCCACACTCTTCTTCAACCCTCAGGAGTCAGCTATCTTGCAGCTCTTCCACCAGGACGGTGAGTGGCTATGAGACAGTGCCCCATCCCATGCTTAGGCTTCAGAGCTTCATCTTGCTTGAAACAGCCTTGTTTCAAGCCTTGTTTGAAGCACAAGGCTAAGAGCATCTCCAGGCCTTCATGGCTCTGGGGGACTGCTAGTACAACAGATGAAAACCTCCTCCACAGGAAGAAAGGCCTTTTCCTCTCTTTTTCACCTATTCATTGTCTTTGTGTGTGTTTGGACTGGGACACTATGTAACTGATGTGAGACGAGCTGGCTGTGAGCTGAGGGGTGGATGGTACAAGACTACAGTCTTTGTCCGACAGACCTGTGCCCCTTTAGTTATGATTCTTCTTGTGTTGCAGGTACTTTCAGCCCAGTCACACTGTCCTTGTTCTTCCTTCTCTATTTCTTACTCTCCTGCTGGACATACGGGATCTCTGTGCCCAGTGGTCTTTTTGTGCCATCACTGCTTTGTGGGGCTGCCTTCGGACGCCTGGTCGCCAACCTCCTCAAAAGGTGCATTGAGTGTGTGTGTGTGAGAGCTGTGCTGCAGACACACGCTGAGCTCTCACTCGGGTTCTTCTAATCTGGGGGCTCTGTGTTTTGCCCTAGTTACATCGGCCTGGATCACATCTACTCGGGAACCTTTGCACTGATTGGGGCAGCAGCATTCCTGGGAGGAGTGGTCCGCATGACGATTAGCCTGACTGTCATCCTAATTGAATCCACCAACGAGATCACCTACGGGCTCCCAATAATGATCACCCTCATGGTGAGCACCGGGTCTTAGCTCAGGCTCCTTGCAGACTGCTTGAACATGTGCTGGCCCCGAATCTCTGTTCCTTCCAGGGCTATGATAAGCCAAGAAGTCTTGTACTTGCAGCAACAACTCAGTTGACCTTCCGTTTGCTCTGCAGGTCGCCAAATGGACAGGAGACTTTTTCAATAAAGGCATCTATGACATCCATGTGAACTTGCGAGGAGTGCCTCTTCTGGAGTGGGAAACAGAGGTGGAAATGGATAAGTAAGGCTGCTCCTCTTGGCAGGGCTGTGGGTTAGAGTTTTTGCTCAGAAAGGAATGCTGTGATATGAGGGAATGATGCTTCATCTCCAATGAATCTGGCTGCTCTGAGGAGCAGCTGTGAGGAAGACTGCTGTGGGAGGAGTTGGGAGTTGTGCATCAGGCCTGCAGCAGGAGAGAGGCGCTGGAGCACTTTCTGAGGAGGGGTGGGCAGGTGGAGATCTGAGGAGCAAATTTATGAGGTTCAGAAAGAACTCTGTGCAAGTGTTCCACTGGACTTTGCTTCTTGTAGAATTTAATCTTCTTCCCAGCTGTCATCTTTTTCCAGTAGCGTTTAAACACTTTCTATGTTACAATTGGAACATTTTTCCTTGCCTATAGTGCAGCACTGATGCAATATTAGGTTATAAAAAAAATTAAAAATTGTGCCAGCACCATTAGTAACACAGTGAAGGTGAGCACACAGGTACAAGGAGCTGGCAGAATAAACTGCAGCAGGATCCTTCAGGATCTCATTTTGGGATGGGTTTGTTTCCTCATTTGTCCGTCAGCAGCCTTCTGTCGCTGACATTTGGCACAGGCACCAATCTGGGATTTCTCTTTCCTCAGACTACGAGCCAGCGACATCATGGAACCCAACCTGACCTATGTCTACCCACACACCAGGATCCAGTCCCTCGTTAGCATCCTGCGCACAACTGTCCATCATGCCTTCCCAGTAGTGACTGAGAACCGGGGCAACGAGAGGGAGTTCATGAAGGGAAATCAGCTGATAAGTAACAACATCAAATTCAAGGTAAGAAGTCGGTTGTTTGATAAGTTGGAGGGTGAAGAGCTTTGTTTTGCAGGCGGAAGGCCCTTTCTTCTGTTACTAGGCGTTTGTCAGGGCAGAGATAAGCACCTACTGCAACAGAAAATTTTCAAGGACTCAATTTCATTCTGTTCTCTGGGTTATGATAAGAAGAGTGGGCTGCATTCCCAGAGGCCAAAGTTAAGAGGACAAAGTAACCTGTTTATGATATACATGGAAAAAGTTTGAATTTGGCATTCAAGTACTGAACCCACCGCTGAGATCAGTAGTGGGTGTCTAAATGCTTTTCTCCTTTGTAGGAGAGGCAGTGGGGCAGATACTTTAGTCTCTAGATACTTTAGCTGGGAAGCTTAAAATTTAAGCTCAGAATGAATAATGAATGTGCTTGTGACATACTTGTGCTCTAACAAAAAAGGGTGCCCAAGTTCCTAAATGTCAGGCTCCCTGTCCAGGGAGAGTACAATCCTATTGACTCGTACAAGTACTTCAGCAACACTAAGGAACACTTTATCTGGTGACATAAAGCTATGGTCAAATAGTTCATAGTTGCTCTTGGATGATAACTGTTGACCTGCTTAGTGGGTATCTGAAAATTGTTTGTTGTATCCAGAAATCCAGTATCCTCACCCGAGCTGGAGAGCAGCGCAAGCGTAGCCAGTCCATGAAATCCTACCCTTCAAGTGAGCTGCGAAACATGTGTGATGAGCACATAGCAACGGAGGAGCCCCCAGAAAAGGAGGATCTGCTGCAGCAGATGCTAGAGAGAAGGTGAGATCCTGGTAGGCACAAACGTATGGAAACAGGGTGTTTCCATGTGTTGGATGTGTTGTGATCCTTCATATAATCCCTGTCATTCTGTATGTCATAGGAAACAGTGCTGGTATCCGCATTTTAGAAGTGACTTGTCAGGTCTCATCAGCCAGTGCTGGGGCTCACACCAGTGACTGAGTTCCTAGGCTCATGGCTTGATGGTGTCCAGCCTGTTAATTTAAATTTCCTCCAAACACCTATCCAGAAATATTTCCTGGAGAGGATGGAATACCTGGGGAAATATCTTGTCTGTAGAAGATGACGTCCTCTTGTCTGCAAAAACCTGAGGGCTCTGCAAAGCTCCCCAGTGACTTGGTGCCATGGACCTGATACCACCTTTCTGGTAACTGGGCTGAGTCACCAGGCTTGTGTTCCTGTTGCTTCCAAGCAGAAGCCCAGTGCAGTGAATCAGTTTCTAACCTAGTCATTGTGACTCTTATGAGTGGGGTCCTGACCCTGATGTTTTGCCAGATGCTTCAGCTATTAGTAGAATCTGAATAATTTGGCACTGCAAATTGCTTTAGTAACAAGTGATTTAAATTGAGGCGTAGGAGACTGTGTCCATTCTGCTGCTGTTGTCGTTCTCTGCCCACGGTAATGGGTCTTGACCCCTCTCTGCTATTTTGTTTGGTGGAGAAAAGACTTGCTCGTCTAGCAAGAGTCCCTGAAACGTTCAGAAGGTTGCAAAGAACTGAAATAGCTGCTGTTTTGGAGGTGGGGTGTGCCTCTCTATTTTGTGCAACTTGTAACATGTTAAATCTGTCACAGATACACTCCCTACCCCAACCTGTACCCTGACCAGTCTCCCAGTGAAGAGTGGACCATGGAGGAACGCTTCAGACCTTTGACCTTCCATGGCTTGATCTTGCGCTCGCAGCTCGTCACCCTCCTCGTCAGGGGTGTTTGTTACTCCGAGAGCCAGTCGGTGAGTATTCCTCATCAGGAATATTCCTTCCCTCTCGGCTGAGAAGGTTGGGAACAGCATTTATGGGCTGCCAAAAAGAATCTATCTATTTTTACACTTTAAGGAATGCATCTGTGTTTTAAAAGCTGCAGATGGATAATGTGAATTCTCTCTTGCAGCTCTAGAATAAAGAGTATTTAATTTCTGTTTAAGCACCCCCAGGATAACAGGACAGCTACTTTTTCAAAAATAAACCGACAGACCCATTTGTTGCATAAAGGTGCAGTCCTGTCAGAACTGGCAGAGGGCAGATATTATATACCAATTATATACCAAGAGGGCAACTAGCAGCATGTACTGTGTGATTTTTGCAGTTGCGTGCCAGGGTCTTACCAGGAGGGTGTCAGCTGTATCACTGAGATCAGTAAGAGCACTTGTGTGAGGCCCATCGTTTACAGAGCTGTTCGGTTGCTGCCCTCCAGTGTTGAGTGTAGACCCATCAGAGGCTGGGGAGCAGATCTGGGGCTCTCTCAGCTGAGCACCTGGTTTGGGCTTGCCCTGGCTGCGTTCTGAGATGAGCTGCTAGGGGTACCTCTGCAGAAGTTGTACGTGCAGGCATGGGAGGAGAAGGAGATCTGGGTGAGTGAGTGGGAGGCGTCATTTGCTGTGCTGATTGCAGCCCTTCTGCCATCTGGGAGGGTGACACGTGGTGTCCTGATTGCAGAGCGCGAGTCAGCCTCGTCTGTCCCACGCTGAGATGTCAGAGGATTATCCCCGCTATCCGGATATCCATGACCTGGACCTCACCTTGCTGAACCCTCGCATGATAGTGGTAAGAGAGGCTCTGCAGTCTGACAGTGTTTCCTGATATATGTTTAGGACTGTCCCAAGCCTTTAAAAAAAAGCTGAGAACGTATTTTAAGTCCACCTTGGAGAGCAGTGACCAACATCCTGTACTTCTCATGCATTCAGTCAGCCTTGTCTGCATGTGGAAATCAATCCTCGTACCTGCTGTGAAGTAGCATTGCACACAGGTGCTTTACTTTCAGAATAAGACGTTGTCTGTCTAGTTTAATTTCCTTCTAGATTAGACTCCTGCCTGAGTGAGATCAAACAGGCAAACTGCTGATATCTGTTTGGAACTCTGTGTGCTGGCAGGTCGGTCAGTGGCAGGCCTCTTGTTGTCTTTGTGACAGGAAGGTTGCTGTGTAGGCCAAAGTGTTGTTTTTAATATACATTCTTATTTTCATGGACCTGCATTTATCCTGCTTAGAGGCTTTCTGCAGCATTGGGCTTTTAAGATCATGGTTTGCAGTGCTCAAACAAACTGTGAAAAATTGAGGTTCCTGAAATAATTTCATATTTGGAGAAATAGAAGATGCCCACAGTCCAAAACCTTGTCCAGAGATCTGTGCATTGGAAGAGTTGTAGGAATTGCTTGTTCCTACAGTGATTCCCAGAGATAGTGAAAATGCCTCTTGTAAATAATATAATTGTTTTTCTTTCTTAGGATGTCACCCCATACATGAACCCGTCACCCTTTGCTGTCTCTCCAAACACTCATGTGTCACAAGTCTTCAATCTGTTCAGGACAATGGGACTCAGACATTTACCGGTTGTCAACGCGGTTGGAGAGGTGAGTCCTTATCTCCTTTTTGTCTTGGCTGGGCGAGGAAGCCACTGTGTTTTATGCAATGCTTTCCGGCTTTGGGAGAACTGAGAGAGCTTTTAACATCAGAAATGCTTAAAGAGATCAGAACGTGATCTTATTTAAGGCTCTGAAGTGTTGTTGATTGCTGTGACTTTGCTACCATCTTTTGTGTCCAAGCCTGCTTCCTGCTTTCCCCACAAAGGACAGGACATGTGGTCTCTCTCCTGTCTCAGGTTGGCAGCATGTGGAAGCTTTTACTGTCTTGTATTTGTTGAAAGCCCTTGAGCTCATCAGAGGCCGCTAATTTGGCTTCCTCTTTGACAGCTTTATTCAAGGCCAAGAGCAGAATTTCTGGCGTGTTGGGGCGGGAGGTTTTTCAGCTGGAAGGGAGCTTGTGTTCTGTTGCTACTCATAGGAGCAGCAAAATAAAGGAGCCTTTGAATGGTTTGTGCTCGATTCACTGTACTTGTGTGTGTACCCTTTGCCATCTACAGTGCTCAGGAGTAGTCAGTAGGTGTCAGTAACTTCCTGCAAACATAATGAGAAACTTTTCCCTTAGGCTGAACTGGTCTGTCCCTGTAAGACAGCAGTGCTTTCTCTGCCTCTTGGGGTTACTAATAGTTACTCTGCAGAGCCTGTTGGTTGAAAACAAGAGATGCTGACTCGTTCCATGTTTAGTACAATATGCTCTTGCCATACTAGAGAGCAGCCTAGTTCTAAACTCTTTAATGTGTAAAATCACTGAGGTGTTTCATCAGCTGAAATGTGTGGTTTGAGTGTTTCCCCAGCAGGCTGGGAGAGGGTCCCTTTTGTGACCTGCCAGGTAGTGATGGCCAGGGTGCAGTCCCTGCTTAGCTGGTCTTTACCATTTCTCTGTTTTGGTCTTTAGAGCTTCCTAGAATGTATCTGATGTGAGCTATCTGCAGTCATGTCATACAGCATATCAGAAATGTCTCAGCTTTGTTATTTCCAATTATAGTTTCCATTTTCCAAAGGATTTAGTTACATTCATATACTGTCTAACATCAACAGGATTTCCCTTCCTTGGCAGGAGTAACTACTGCTGTGCCCAGACGTGATAGCAGCAATTAAGCTGTCCATTTGGGTATAGTTAAAGCAGTGTCTTGCCTGTAGATAAGTGCTGGGGGAGGGAGGGGTGTTGTTTTGACAAGATTTGAATTTGAACCCACTCTAATTCAGCATTGGTCAAGAACCACTTGCAGGTTCTGTCTTTTTTGGGGGTTGGAAAGAACAGCTCTACCATGCACGTCTCTTAGTGGCACATCTGTGATATTGACTTGTATCTTTTTTCCTCTTTTCTTCCTCTTTAAGATTGTTGGGATAATCACTCGGCACAACCTGACCCACGAGTTTCTGCAGGCAAGACTGAGACAACACTATCAGACCATTTGATGCCCCTGCCCACCCTGCCCCACTGTCGGTGTGGCTCCCTCCCTCTTCCAAGCCTGCACACGCGCTCGCATTCTGCTTGGACCCCACAAGGCCCAAGACTTGCCGTTTGGCTTCTCACATGCAAATCAAGCCTGGGGAGCTGGAAAACATCTTGCTAGCCACAGAATTAGAGGAGCTACCTGAGCCCAGAGCTGTTGATGGGTCTCAGGCACTTGGTTTGACCACTCTTGATCCAGGTTTTTTCTCCTCCTGTGCCCCAGTTATCTCCTTTCATCAGATGTTGTCCTGACACCGTATGTTCTGCTATTTTGTTTTGGTTTGGGTTTTTTTAGTGGTTGGAAAAAAGAACCATCTAGTTCCGCTGTATCCTGTGCAGAGAACTGCAGCATCTCTTCCCTCTTGTCCTGTATGTCTCCCTTTTCCTCTTCCTCCCTTGTTCCTGCAACTGTTGCCTTACTCGTGTGAGAAGGGGGTCGCTGTCAAGGCTGAGAGGAGATACTGAAGTCTGCAGTTATCAAATAGCTGCTCTGGAGGATGGCTTTTCTCAGAAAAGGCATTAAAAAATCCAGCTCTTTGAAAATAGACCTCTCTTTGCGCGTGCTCCCATTTGCCCATGTTGTCCTGAAACCAGGACACATGTTTTTTCCTCTCTGCCTTCATTTGTTCCTAATTTCTCTACTTCTTTCATGGGGAAGCATCCCCGCTGTGATGTTTTTGACAGCAGCTGACTTTTGAGAACAGCTCAGCAAATCAGGAGTTCAAAATAGTTCAATTCTGGTGACTGTTTTGGATTATAAATATTTAATACATTTGCAAAGTATTTCAGAGAAGGGAGATCTTTTCCCTGTTCGGTGTTGCTATTATCTCCCTGTAAGAGACTCTTCTAAGGCACTTTGTGGCACTCCACTTTGTCACTACCCTGACACTCCTGCATTTCTTGGCATTTGTAGGCACTTTGTCCTTGAACACTGAGAGCCTGGGACACATTTCCAGAGAGACCAGGGAACCTCATGTCCTCAGAGCACAGTGAAATGTTCCTTTCTGGAGACAAATAGATCTGATGCTCTGTCTCTGGGCTTGGTGGCGTTATCTCTGTGTCATGAGAGGAGCTGGTGTAACTTCAGGCTGCCATACAGGAGGGACACTTGGTGCTAGTGACGAACAGACAGGATTTGCTGCAGGGTGATAAGTGGGGCTGTCTGTGCTCTAAAAATGCCTGGGATAATGTTTGCACTTGCAACAGCTAAATATCTCTAAGGGTAAAATCAGCACTTAGGAGCCAGTTGCAGCCAGTTTGCTGCTTTAGCAGGTACCATCCTGGCCAGCACCTGTATTGTTCCAGCAGGCACCTGCCCTCCTGAGTTTTGCATACAGATAACCCTCCGTGGGAAGCCAGCATTGTGCCTCCAGGGTCCACAGAGCTGATTGGCTTGATAAAGCACAGAGCATTCTCTCAGCCAAGAGACTGGGCCAAGTAATATGGGAAATGTATCCCAGAAAAGCTTCTACACAGTCTCTGAGCACTCTGATTAACCTGTTGTCTGCCATAAGGAGCTAGCTAGAAGAGAGTTGTGCCAGAAGGAAATCAGACATTGTTGTATTTTCTGAATTCAGGAGTTCATCTATGCTGAAGATTTCCCTGACTAAGCCTGAAGAAGTTCTGCCCTTTCCTTACATGTGTTAAAACATTAAATCTGTTAAAACAGCCTCTTTGACTTTGTGGAAGCTGGTTGTTCAGGGAACTGCTCTGCGAACTGCTGGCTGCTGAGCCCTGCTAAGTTAGGGTTAGGAGGAGGTTTTGTGCCCAGGGCACCAGCCAGGGCCTTCATGTAGGGCTCTTGAAGTCTCTGGAACTCTTTGATGTTCATGGGCAGACAGATGATGGGCAGATGTATTCTCTGGCTGTGCTTGCAATAAAGACAGCTGAGTCATGGGAGGCTCTTGAATTTTGTCCAACTCATGAGGAAAACTTGGTCTTGACTTGCAAGTTGTTTCCTGGTAAGTAATGTAAGGATGTTCTCTCTGCAGATGATTTCTAAAATGCTTTTGTTCCCTGAGCTCTGGTCTTGCACTGAGCTACCCCAAGAAACTTCCAGCACCCTTTTGCACTCCCTGAAGCTGGACTGTAGGTCTGAAATACAATTCTGTTAACCTACCTTTCATTCAAAGGATTTGTGCTTGTGGGCAGTTAGAAATCACAGGAATCCTGTTTTGATGGGATTTCAGATCACTGTAATGTGGAATTAGCAATCCCATAATGTCAGAGCACCTGTCAGGAATGCCCCATGTCTCTCCATGACAGATCTTTTTCCTCTTGCTCATGTTGAGAGATTGTTTGTGGAAGGTTCCTTCTCTTCCTGCACATGAATAGGGCTCCTTAGATTGTTTGCCTTGAGCTGCTCATGTCCTGGTTTATTTCTGTATGCAAACTGCAGCAGCATATTTTGCTCCAGGATGTCTTGTCATCGCTGCTGAGGCCTGGAGTTAGGCTGAACAGCCAGACAGGCTGAAAAATCTGGTCAGGGTTTGTCTGAGCACCAGCTGGGCTTCCCCATGAGAAGGCCACTTGCCTTCAGCCAGCTGTCAGCACTGTCTGCTCTGCCTATGCATCTATCTTATTTAAATGTTTTAGCTGGAAAACACACCCCTTTCACTCTTTCAGTAAAGAAGTTCTAAATAAGGATGGTGGGTCCACCCTGTCAGCTGCTCTGAAGGGAAATCTTGGTGTGCAATCAGTGTTGTGTAGCTTGCAGAAAGGGAATTAGGAGTTCGTGTGACGTCTGGGGATGTAGCATTTCCCTTCTGCTAGGCCTGGTGCAAAGAGCCTTGTGGTGAAATCGGTCTCGTCCTCACGCTTTGGTCACTTCATTCCTTTCTTACCACTCCCTGCCTCCCCCCTGCCTGCTAGTGATTTACCAACAAACCTTCTTCTAACATAGGTGCCTGTAACCTTTCACTCAGAGCAACACTAAAGGAATAGTAACCCAGAACTGGATTAGTATTGATGGCAAAAGTTAAGTTAGGGGGTAGTGTGGGGCCTTCTCCCCTGCCTCGTGGTTTCCTGTGCAGTGTTAATTATGCAGGTTTGAATTGTTAACTTACTGTGAGCCATTCCAATGGTAGTGACTTACCTTTCCATTTGGTTTTTTTGCACTGTTTTATTTTTTGTTAAGAAATTATGTAAGCTAATTCCACAATGTATATAAATTGTATTTTTTTTTTAAATTTGTATGGATATATTTTTATTTGAACTATGGCACTTGGGAAGTATTCATGTAACCATAACATGTCTGAGAGTAAAATGTTTGTGTCTCCTTCAGCACTTCTGAGGCCTTTTGATGTTTCTAGTGTTGTCTTATTTTTGCCCTTTACCATAATAAAACTGGTAGAAGATGGCAATATCCCAGAACGTGATTTGAGGCAGATGAGTAGTTGCTGTTTATGAGCTGTGTGGATCAAACAGTTTGTGCAGAAGGTGCTCTGAGACTGGGCAAAGAGGAATTGGTGTAACCCTTTAGGGTGCGACCGCTCTGGCCCCGTGTTCTCTCCCCACAGCTGTTTGAAAGGAGGGAATTGCCGCATGTGTGACAGGGGCCTGGGTTGTGCACGTTGTACCAGAGGCAAGTGGTGCTTTTCTTACCTGAGAAGTCTGGCTTTCTGCCTTTCTCCCAGTAAGTTAATGAAAGACATTTAGAGTGCAGCATTGCATCTCTTGTTTTACAGATGGCCTCTCCAGGATGTGGAAAAAAAAGGGGGGGTGGGAGGGCTGTGTCTGTCTGTGCTTACAGACACAGCTCACTATGAGGTGGTCGGGCAGCTTCCCTGCAGCCAAACCCAGTAAAGCAGCCACCTAAACTGGTGTGGGCACCAGACTCTGGGGTAGAGTCTGGGTCAGCTTTAGGGCTGCTTTGGGCATCAAGGTTTTATGGAAGGTGATTCCTGCTGCAGACAATAAAAGCAGGGAAGAAGGAGGGATCAAAACTAGTTCTAAGTGGTGGCTTGTCTTGCATGTTATCATGGGTGATAGAGGTGGTTACTAGAAAAGCTGTGTAATAGGGTTATGCTTTAAAGTAGATTAAAATCCCTTTCTACCAAGGTTTATAGATTCATTAAATCCAACTACATGTCGTGATCCCTGGACCAGTAAGCTGTGTATCTAGCAGAAGAATTCAGTGCTGTTCAGTGCGATTTAGGTTTTTTTCCCCTTTGCTTCGCTTTGCCGGCAGAAGCTGCCTACTTTAGCGTGTGCACACGCACACACACGCACACACACACACACGTGTGTGCGGCGGGGCACAGGCGGGAGGGGACCGAGCCGGGAGCGGGGCGCGGGCCCGGCGCTGCCCCTCTCCAGGGTCCTGAACCGCGCTCCGCCCGCAGCGGGAAGCGCTCCGGCCTCTGCCGCGTCCGCCCCAGCGTTTCAAAAGCAGCGCGTGAAAAAATGTGGAATGGGTTCCACCACCCTCTGGGAACTTCGGGGGATCACTTTGTGGGGGTTAGACGTTGAGATCAGTGTTTAAAAGTAAGCAGGGTGTCCCTGTCAAATCAGGGTGCTGTTTCAAAACCGCAGAGATAAAAGCTGTATGGGCCATGTATGGTTTAACACACGTTTTAGTGACTCTTAAGCATCTCGGAGCAGGAGACCGAAACCCATATACGCCAGTTTGAATAGATGAACATAGAAAACAATATTGTGTTGAAGAATTCATGAAACTAGCAGAAACTACAGGACAACACTGAGAGTCTTGCAGAGTCCCCTTGCAGCTCCTTGATGTTTATACTAGAGAACATCTCTGTGGGATAGCCAACTTTGTACACCAATTTTATCTTTATTTTGCTTCTTCCCAATTCCCAGCATATCAGTTTTGGCCCTAACTGCCTTCTCACTATCTTCTGTTTTCTTAAAACTTCCCCATCTCCTAAGTCAGCTTCTTTTTCTATAGAGGATTCTGCTGGTTTTCCAAGAGAGTGTTCAGGAGATGGGAAGGTAGAGGGAAGGTCTTACAAATCTTCCTTCCTTCCTTTCTGATCCCAAACTGTGATTACAACAGTAAGCTTTTCTATTATTTTTTTTAATTCATTTTCTTTTTTTTTTTTTTTTGGTGGAAGTATGTCACTCAGCAGTAGACTCTGCTGCTGGGAAAACTAAATACAGGCCTGGCATACCCTGTTTACAAAGGGCGAGTTTTACTGTTGAGAGGGGCACTGATGTGCTCACGAGTCTTTGAACAGGAATTCCCAGTTGTACTAATTCCTTTTGTTTTGTTCAGATAGGATGATGGGAGGCTGGCCTCTGGCCTCTGGCCTCAAACTATTACACGCCATCAGTGAAAAGGACCAAAGGCAGTAGCTGTTTCTGGTTGCCAGCAGTGGCAACCAATTGGCAGGAGCCCATCCTGGGGTCTTAAGGTTTCTTTCTGCCTTTTTGTTTCACTCTGGTGTTTTCCATCTGCTCACTGTAAGACTGATCTTGAGACTGCTTCTCTTTATACTTGCAATGATGGCAGGAATAAGACTCAAACAGCAAAGCCCACTGCATTCTGTCACTTGCTCTGGTAAAGGATTGGGGATTGGAGCCAGCAGAAGATTCCCTCTTAAAGTTATTTGTCCATAGCAGCTGTCACTGGAGTGGCAGTGGTTCAGCTCCAGCAGGGAGCTGAACGTTGCAAAGAACATTCTTGATTTGTTTCAAGATGTTTCACACTTCAAAGGTGTGATAAAAGCACCAGAAAAGTCCCCCCTTCCTTTATCTCTCAGCAATGCCTCTGGACTCTTCCTTCTTTGGTGTGAAAATTGAGACAAGTGTTGGACAACTGGGTACCAACCATCTAAAGGGAGCTGTACCTCTGGGTAAGTGTGTGAGAGACTCAGGGCAGGGTTGTCAACAAGCTTTCTGCTAAATTCTGAGCTGTGTGACCATGCTGCTGGTAGCCTCTGTCTTTGGGAGTGGTGCCAGTGTGCTATCTCTGTAAAGAGCTGCTGCCAAGGATTACTGGGACACACTCATCAAGCAGGTGTCAATCAGCAAAGGCCTTTGGAGGCCAAGCTTCCGTGGAAGTAAATTGAGCAAGCTGGATAGGGCCAGATTGTTATGCAAATTGGCACAGCTCGACTCTTCCCGGCAGCAGCGGAAGATGTGTGCCCTGTACTTCTCACATGATTTCTTAGAGAAATGAAGCAGTGGTGACAGCTTCTCTTGGCATTCTTGCTTGCAGACTGGGATTTCAGTGAAACATTTCATCTAGTGGGAAACTGGAAAGGGACAGTGCAGTGTCTGAGGGGGAAAGAAACCCTCAAATCTAATTTGCAAAAAGACCCTGTGCCAACCAGACCACTTTTCCAATTGAGGCTTGTGCCTTACAGTGTGCATGAAGCCTGCTGGTGTAATTACTGTATTTCAAAGTTCAAAGGAAAGAAAGCTGCTGAATTCTGCGCTGTCAGTCAGGGTTGCTGCCAGAAGCTGTTAGGAAGTGAGCATGAAGCCTGGCATTGCAGGAGGTGGCAAATGTCATTAGAGCTGGCTGGAGGGTGTTAGCCTGGTCCTTCTCTGATCTCGCTGGGATATTTCTTCCTTTGCACCATGAGCGTGACAGCACTAGGGTACATCCCAGGTGCTGTGGTGTGGGGGGTGATTGAGGTTTATAATGCACTCTGATGCCTGACAGGGTGCAGGAGGGCAGGATTTCAGGACCCTGCTCTGTGCTTAGTGCTGAATAGTTGTTTGGAACCTAATCTGCGTTAGATTATTTTTACATCAGCTCTTGCTTTGCATGGATAGCTTTGTCCCAAGCATGGATAGCTTTGTCCCAAGGCATCCTGTGCTTAGAATGTTTCTGAATTGTTTACAATTACAAGCTACCCTGATTCCCTGTCTTGGGGCTGACTCACAGCATAGTTCCTAAAGCAAAACTCTGAGCTATTATTGACACGTCACCAACTTTACCTTCCCCTAGGGTAAGTTTCTCTAGAAGGCTTGACATGTATCTTGGATAGGTGTGAAGACTTAATAATGCTAATCTTCAGTTCATGCCCTCATGAGAGCCTGGTACTGCTTGTTTCTCCTCTAGTCCAGTCCCGTATTTTCCTCAAAAAAGTTCTAGGAGGGTTAGTTTTCAAAATTTACAGGCACATAAGACAGATCCACTAGAAACCTGAAGGGATCTACCTCATGTTTAGCTATGGGTCAGTGCAGAACTAGCTTCTGCTGGAAGAGAGCAGGGCCTAGTTAAAAGGAATAACTGTATCCTTTCATGGAGAGAAACTCTGCAAATCCACTACAGTGACAGCAGCAGCAGAAGAAATAAAAGGCTGTCAAGTTAGCACCTGATGTGTACATAGGATGATAGGACTGTCCTTTTTGTCTTTAAGCCATGAACACGACTCCAATTTGCTGCAAAATCAGGTAGAGAATGAACTTGTAATGCGTCCCATGCTGTGGTTACTGCTTGTGCCTCCCTTCTTCCCCAGCTGCAAAGCTCACCCTGCTGGCCTTCGGTGAAGAACATTAGTGGCACTTGCCATTGGAACTGCTGGGTCCCAGTGTACGTGGCTGTTCTGTGAAACGTGATAAATGAATTAATTTGCCAGCTTGCTCTGGGATCCTTCATTTCTGCACCTACAGGCTGAAATTCCTGGCCTTACTGAAAGCAAGTTCCTGGTGGAGCCTTTCATGTTCTCTATGTGCACCCTCTTGGCCAACAGTCTTTCTGTACCCTCTTTAGAAAGCAAGAAATACAGCTCTAGAGAGACGTTTAGCTTTCAGATGCCTTTGCTTGCTCCACAAGCAGTGGGCTGCTTTTGTCTGTGTGTCTGTTTGGGACTGGCTGCTCCCAAGAGTGTTCCCTGCTCGCTCTGATCCCGCTCTGGCAGCAGCAGTGGGAGCTTTGCTTGTCCTTGGGGCTGATGCTCTCTATCTGTGGGGCTGGTCAGTGCTAAGTTTCTCTCATTCAGCTTTCCCAAGTGCTCGTTTCTGTGCGCAGTCCTATTCTGACCCGACTCTGAAATTTCCCTGGGGGAGCTTTACAGCTCAGTGTGTTTATGGGAGTAGCAGTAAAAATCCAGCCACAGAGATGCTTTTTTCCTAGATTGCCTGCTCTCAATTAGGTTCTCCCAGCCCGCAGGGTCTATTAACATACTGTCTGCAAGCCCATACAGACTTGTTCCACCGGGAACTGGCTTGCTGTTAGTACTGGACCTGCCTGGCTTTGGCTCAGGCAGCGCCAACTCTTCTTGCCGTTTTTAGCACATTCCACTGAACTCATTAGTGGTTTGTGCCTTGCGGGGCTGACGGGGAGGGACAATTTACAGGGCCGTGATGTGTCT